GTTCAGTGCAAAGAAATGCAGAAGGTAGGGACGTTTTGTGCCAAAAAATGATTGGTAGGGATGTTTTCTACAATAAACTTGATAGGTAGGGACGTTGCGCACCAAAAAATCAAACGTTGGGATGTTTTCCACACAACCCTTCAAAGGTAGGGACGTTTTGAGCCAATAACCCTTTTCCCCAAAAACCTTCAAAGGTAGGGACGTTTTGCGCCAATTACCCTTAAAAAAAATTCTCTACTACTTTTAACCACACATTTTTCAAAAAATCACTATTTAAAACAATATTTTTTTCAAAAAACAAAAGGCTACCAAACAAGGGCTAAAGTATACAAAATTCATAGGATGCAACAATTCACTTACTCTATAAGCCCTTGTCGAAACTTAATTTTCTTCGAACACATCGTAATCACACGTTATTTCAATAAAATAATGTCGTATGATGACTTATTTTGCACATTAGATAAAGTTCTATTATTTTATAGTGGACGTCCCAAGTAGGTATCGGATAAATCATAAATCTAAATGGTGGTGATAGGATGGTCGAAACTACGACATTACGCGGCACACAAACTGAAGCCTCGGCGCCACAGCGCCACTCCATGCACCACGGCGCCTCCTATTACGCGGAAGGGCCACAATTTTCTCCTATTTTAAAGCACATAAAAACCATATTCTTGCTATGAACGTAAAGGGGAGTAAGAATAGACTTCTTGGAGACTTTTGGAGGGGTTGGAGACTTGGAATAGCACAAGAACACATTGAAGAGATTCAACAGCCTTTGGAAGGAGAAATCACGCGCCAACATCAGAAAAATGAGTTTTTCTTATTCCTTCTCTCTCCATGTTTCTTTTCCTATCGTTTGTAACGTGTTCTTCAATTCAACTATGAACTAAACTTCTAGATCTAGGGTTTGATATAGCCAACTTGAGATTTTAGATTGATGAATTGATAATTATTCCATTTGATTTTTCTCTCATGTATTCAATTATGTTATCATTTTAATGCTTTCAATTAATTGGCCACTAATTGATTGATTAGATGCTAGTCAATTCCGGCACTCGAGATGGGGGAATTTAAGCGTGATCATAAGATTAACACAACTTAGGTTTTATGAGTTTCGAGAGAAAGTGTAAAATCTATGTAGCTTACTTCATAAAAGAATCGAGACTTGATAAATTTTAGATTTTAATTTGGAATAGAGATATTGGGATTAAAGTCTGTGATTAATTTCTAGTCGGCACTCGAAAGAGGGAATAAAAATAATTTAGGATTCTTGCTTTTGAATATGAGAAAATCAATTGGCATAATTGGATATCATTGAATCATAGTTGAAGGTTAGGTGAAATCATTCCCCAGGCTTTCTCAATTTAATTATTTGCATTCCTCAATAATTGAAGGTTAGGTGAAATCATTCCTAGGCTTGTTCATCTTGATAATTTAAATTCTTCAAATTCGTCACAGTTATCGTTAAATTAGTTAACAAAATTCAGTCAATCATTCAATTGTCTAAATAAAATAAAAGTTGCACAATTATAGTACTTAGTAGAAATTAAATTACAATCACTGTGGGTTCGACATCCTAACTTCTTTACTATATTACAAAACTTGACACCGTATATTTGCAGCATAATCACGTTGTGTAAAACACGTGACACTCTCCCTTAAACTTTCTAGATGACCCATGTATAGAGCTTTATGCCGATGACTCCCATATCAGATGATTTTAGAGCACCAGATTTTAAACACCGTTGCAGGCTTAATGACCCGAGTAAAAAAGGCTTCGAAGAGAACTAATTTATGTTTCAAGTGTATCTTCATCTCTTATTGCTTTCTAAATGACCACTGTATCGAGCTTTAAGTCGATAACTCCCAAATCAGATGACTTTTAGGGACCGGGTTTTAAGATACCCTTACATGCTTAAATACTCGGGTCATGAATGCTTTTAAATAGAAGTTTTACATTAAGAAGAATGTATGCGTTGATCAATACAATGCCCTTTATTACACACCTATTCAAACAAACTGACCTCCAACTTAAGACTTTCTCCAAGTTTTATCATGTTAGTCTAAGACAATCCACACATAAATTTTCACACATGGAATCCACATTCACATATGCATATTCCTACAACAGTAAAATCATCCCCAAACTGTGCTCAATTTGGTTTAATGATTAATAACTTAGAATGGTTTTGGTACAACATCTATGTCCATCTAAATCAACTCATTTCATCACAGTTTCAAAACTCAATTCTAGTGCGCATATAATATTAAGTTTTGCAAGGTAAAGTTTCAATCAATTTAGCATGCTTCCTATCCACAGTTCATAAATCAACACCAAATATCGAAGTATGTCATCATTATCAGCCAGACTGTCTAACCTACACAAAAAGTAGGCAAATAGGAAATTTATAAAACACCCCCCCAAACCTAAGCTAAACATTGTCCTCAATGTGAAATGTAAAGGAAAAAGACGAGAACTTTCCTAAAGTATTGCCTATGATGTTGTGGTGCCTTGGTGTTGAATGTGATTGAATTTTCTTCTATCTTCTTCTCGTCATTGTTGGTTCGAGTGTTTCGCAATATCATGTCCTAGAAAAATCAAATATAAACTATTAAACACAATGAACAAGTAGTACTTAGTTCAAACCTCTCATAACCAACGTAACTATTCAAAGGCCTAAGGGTAACCAGGATATGGGTGATAATTCCTAAAAACTAAAAAGATAAACTAAACTAGACTAAACTGGGTGCATCACTAACTTGAAAAAAAAAAAAAA